GCGAGTTGTTGCTCGCCTGCGTGGAGAAGTTGCAGAGGAGGACGTTGGCGATGACAGAGGTTCACTACGATGAAGGGGCGGCGATGATGGGAGAAGGACGATCTAAAGTCGCGATCGATGAGAGAGAGATGACGAGGGATGTCTGCGCGAGAGAAAAGGGAAAAGAGATCGACTGCGGGCGTTTGGGATTTCTGCCAAGAGAACCGAGGTGAACATATACCTATATACGTACACTTAGGTTTAGGGAATAAGTCTTTATGCCCAAGAAAATCATTCACAACGTGAAACAAAGGGGAAAAACTCGGGCTTGGGCCAGCCGAGTCGGTTTGTTGGGCCGGTTCGCGACAATAAATCGGCTCACGGGCTCGGTTAAATTCAAACGGACATTCTCGGGCCCAATTTCTGTTCCAACGAAAATTCTCGGGCTCGAATACGAATTCAAACGCGCGGTAAAAATAAACCGAACAATATATATATATATATATTACATATTTACTAATACCCATTATACACATTTATAAATAAAATAAATCATTTAGGCATTTAGACAATTAGCATTTAATCACATTTAGGCAATAAATAATATTATAGCATTCAAGAAAAATAAATATAAATATTATCACAAAATAATTATAACAATAATAATAATAATAATAAAAATAATATTAATATTCTCAAATAATCCACAAATAAACGGGGCGCTACAAGTTGGTTCATCATTGGAGATTGGAATGATCTCAGATCAAATGTTGAGAACCTTGTAGGATTTCCTAGACATGACAACAACTTTATGGGGTTCAACAACTTTATTAGCAACATGGAGATGGGGGAAATTCATATGCAGGGCTATTAATTTACTTGGTGCAACAATAGGAGGGACACAGATCTTGTTGAAGAGAAATTAGATAGAGGTTTTGGATCCCTTGAATGGTTGCACAGTAATCCAAATGCCAGAATCTCTAATATTGCCACATGCTCCTTAGATCACGTTGTGCTGCTCCTTGACCCAGGTCTGCCTAAGGATAGAAAAAGCAAAAGATTTCATCAAGACAAAAGATGGATAGCCAGACCTGATTTCTCACAAGTAGTCTCACAAGCTTGGTCCACACCAGTTCAAGGCACCCCCTTTTTTGAACTCAAAGAAAAAGTTAAAAGAACCGTGCTGGCCTTGTTGATCTGGAGTTTAAGTTTTAAATCAAAGAATCAACTCCTCATTGAGTCATTATTTAAGAAGCTGAATGACATCAGAACTGACAAGACTGGCTCCAATTGGGATAATTGGGATACTACAAGGAAGGAGTTAAACAAAGCCCATCATATCGAAGAAATGTACTGGCAGCAGAAAAGCAGGCTTGCTTGGATCAAAGATGGTGATGGGAACACAAAGTTCTTCCATGCATACACTCTACATCGAAGAGGAATGAATGTCATCATAAGACTAATCTCACCAACTGGCCAACATCTTACAAACCAGACAGAGATACAAAATCATATTTCTGATTTTTATTCTCAACTTTTCTCTTCTGAAGGCTCTTGTGGTGGTGAGGCATTACTGCACCTGATTCCAACAACAATCACCCCTGACATGAATCAAACTCTGCTGCAACAAGTGACAGATGATGACATCAAATCAGCACTCTTCAGCTTAAATCCAGACAAAACACCAGGAGAGGATAGTATGTCTGCTTTATTTTACCAACATTGCTGGAACACTATTAAAACTGAATTTGTGGTAGTTGTTTCTAGCTTCTTTACATCTGGTCAGATTCTGCAATACTGGAATCATACCATCCTATCCCTGATTCCCAAATGACATTTCTTTATTCTCTTGGTCAGTTCAGACCCATAAGTTTATGCGCAGTAGTATATAAAGTCATTACAAAGATTCTGGCCACTAAGCTGCAAACATGTTTAAGTTGTTGTATTAGTGATTTCCAGTCTGCATTTTATAAGGGCAGACAATTACTTGATAATGTCATAATTGCTCAGGAAGTGTTTCACTTTCTCAATACACGTCTCTGGAAAAAAACTATTTTATGGCACTTAAACTAGACCTTATGAAGGCCTTTGACAGGATAGAGTGGGTGTGTATTGAAAAAATCATGCTTCAGATGGGATTTCGCCCTCACTTTGTCAAATTAATCATTGCATGTATCTCATCATCTTCTATCTCTTTCAAGGTCAATGGTGATATATGTGGATATATTAAACCAACCAGGGGGATTAAGCAGGGGGATCCACTATCCCCCTACCTATTCATTATCATGGCTGAGTTTTTAACTGCTTTAATCTTAGACCCCTCTAATTCTGGCAAGTTGCAAGGTCTGAAGCTCTCAAAGAATGGACCAGCCTTGTCACATCTGCTATTTGCAGATGACTCAATAGTTTTCTGCAAGGCTGGAATTGACCAAGCTCAGGCACTAATGGATATCCTGCACAAATACAAGTTGTTCACAAGTCAGACAGTGAACCTCAACAAGTCCACCATCGTCTTCAGCAGGAATACTCCAATCCATGTTCAAAGGGCCATTTGCAGAATTTTTCAAGGGATCCAATCACACAGATCAACAAGGTATTTGGGTTTACCATTAGGCATTGGAAGGTCTAAGATTGAAACCTTTGCATATATAATGGAAGCAGTCAAAAGCAAACTCCAATGCAGGAAATCAAAACTTCTATCTGAAGCTGGAAAGGAGTTTTATGCTTAAAGCTGTAATTCAGGCTCTTCCTATTTTTCCCATGTCCTGTTCTAAATTGCCACTTTCATATTGCACTAACATTTCAAGGCTTTGTAGTCAATTCTGGTGGAACAAAAAAGAAGATAGAGCTCAAGGCATCCACTGGAAAAGCTGGACAAAGCTATCTATTCCAAAACTCTCTGGTGGACTTGGATTTATAGACCTAAAGCTATTTAATGAAGCTCTAATTTGCAAACAATTATGGAGAATCACCACACAACCAAATCTACTTGTCAGCAGAGTGCTTAAGGATAGGTATTTTCCCAATATCTCCATTTTCCATGCTCAAAAATCTCAAAAAGGGTCATGGCTTTGGAATTCCTGGATGGACATCTTGCCAATTTTCTCTAAATGGCTAAGAACAGAAATCAGGAATGGAGCTTCAACTAAAATACAAGATTGGAATTAGATTCCCAATTTACAAAAGCCCTGCCCAAATATGGTGGACATTGCCAGGGGTCATTTTATATATGTCAAAGATTTAATTGCTGAGGATGGGCTTCAATGGAATGCATGGTTGATCAAACAGGTATTTTGTCCAGAAGATAGTGCTGTCATATTGAAAATCAAATCCTTGCAGCCTCACAGAGCAGACAGGCATTATTGGGGGTTAGACAAAAAAAGGGGAGTACTCGGTTTCCAGCACGTATAAATGGTTGGTCAAGCAAAAAGTACTCAAAATGGATCAACCAGAAAATAGCTCTCTATCTCTTCCCTGGCCATCAACCTACAGAAGAACTTGGTCCTTGAAGATTATGGGTAAAGTCATACTATTCATATGGAGGTGTATTTCTAAGACCTTACCAGTTTTGGTCAATCTGAGGAAGAAGGGATTTGAACTTGACACAACTTGCCAGTGCTATGGATAGGGAGATGAAACAATAGAGCATATTCTATTCTTGTGTACAAGGGCTGTCAGACTGTGGGAACTTGCTCCTGTTTCATGGGATGGTCTTAGTGAATACACTAACTCATTCAAACAGTGGTGGCAAAGAGTTTGTCTTCTGGAGCACACTGAAGTGGCTGAACACCGGATTGAACTCACAACATACTTGTTATGGTGGCTCTGGAAGACCCGGAATGCCTGGATTTTTAAGCAAACAAGTATCCCACCTCATCGAAGCAGCACAATCTGACTGGCTTGAATTCCTGCATGTTCACCAGACGCTTCCTGCATAATTCTGTCATTTGTTGTTGTTGTTTTTTCAGTCCTTTGCTTTGGTTTGTTTCATATTAGTAGATGTTGAAGGAGATGGTCTTGCTAGGCTTTGAAGCAGTGGCAGAGTATCTTTTCCTTATTTGTTAGTAACTGTGTTGTTTTTTTTTTAGGTTCTAAGACATCGTGTGATGTGCTTCTCATTCTACATTTCAGGTTAGTTTGTGGATCTTTGTAATTCATTGCAGAGTATGCTAAATAAACTATAAATCCTTATAAGGCAAATTAGAAAAATCTTGATTATAAAAGGGATTGAGTTTTTTTATCATTTGCTAAATCGAAGTTGTTTAATTAGTATACAAAATTAAATTCTAAAAAAACATGTGTGTATATTTTGTAAAATATTTATACACTATTTAATTTTATATTTATTTACACATTTTAAATTGATTATATAAATAAATAATACTAACGTGCATTAAACATTTTTCATTACATAAAATAAAAAGATAAAGAAGGCGTACAACTTCTATAACTTTTATAAATAATAATGACATTATATGACAACAAAGTTTATAGTAAAATAATAACTAAGTATTATATGGTGAATAAGAATAAGTAAATTAAAACTGTTATTTTCTCTTATTATAAGATATATATATGTATTAAAATCAAATTTATATTAGTACTAGAAGGCTACGGCTGTGCAATGCACAGCCGGCCCAAGCTAGGTAGACATTTGATGACTATCAAGAGGTGAAGAGGTAAACACAATAAGGGAGTGACTATCACATTAGTGAAATACGAATCCATAACATATGAGCATCAAAAGAAGTCACAGTAGTTAGCAGACAACACCAAAATATACCAAGTTTGGATTAGAACTCAAAAACATCTATTTGTAAACAGATGTTTAGAAGTCTAGGCAATACAATTGGCAAACACAAAAGTTTAGTTTGTATGGCATATAGTGAAGCTACAGAACGCAGCAACATCTATATGTGAATAGATGGCTGAAATAGTGGGCAATGTAGATACAAAATACAAAAGATATGGTCCATAGAATTTGTGGTTCCCAAAAGTTTTAATATGCAGTCATACAGGAGCTAATCCATTTTTGGACGACTTTTCTTTGTCGGGCTTGCATCACATATTGTACTGGTTTGATGAGTTTGTTGGGTGGATGATTCAGGAATCTGGGTAAATGGGATGCTGCTTTCTGGGGTGGAAGATTGTTGATTGTCGAAGCTGATGCGTTTTTTGTCTGTTGATTCCGAAGATGCAATTGTTGTAGGCTTTTCATGTGAAGTGAGGGAGGTAAGAACATTTTTCAGCGTTGGACTGAAGAACTCTTTGTCCGTTACCTGTTTCGTGAAAGTAGATTAGTTGCGAAAGCGAGGGAGCAATCGCATTGTATATATGCATACAAATCCTAATACCATTTCTAACCTAATAAATAAAAATGAATAATAACACTTAAAAAGTAACTGAATAATTGTAAGAACTTCAGATTCGCTGCAAATAGATTAGATAAAAACTTAAGATGAATACCTGTCGAAACGCGAACATGAATTTATTCAAACATATCTAGCATAGAAATTAAAACTACATCAAAGTAAAAGAAATAAAAAAATCAGTAGAGTTCCTAAACAAAGTAGGGAAAATTGATAAAATTAAATTCATAAAACGGGTAACTAAAAGACACAACAAAGAAAGAATACCAACATTTTTTGATAATTTATGAAGAAAACACAGTTGAAATCAACAGGAAATTAATAGTAGAGTAAGAAAAATGAGAGAAGAAGTAGACTCTCTTCGAAGTGAACAACAAATTCCAGATCATCTAAGCCAAAACATCTCCGTATTGTGCAGTATAAAACATCATTGTTTTGCAGGTAAAACTAAATAGTTTATCTGTGGAGCGACGCGACAGAATATAAATAAGTGAATGACATGGCAGGAATATTGGGTAATAGATTTTTTTGTAATTTCATGCAGATGAAAATCCACACACTGATATATAAAATTCCTACTCGTTTTCTTGAGCCAGTGGATTTTTGCATGTAATAAAACCAACTAACTATGTACTTTGTTGCTTCTCATTCCCAGAAAAAGCAAGAGGTTTCATATGTAAACCAGCAGCAAATGATCAATAAGCACATAGATTGATTTCTCAATTATATAATAGCTATAACTTATAATACCATTAGTCTACCATAGGTTACTTAAGTCAAAATAATTCCCAATTTATTTAAATGAGAAAACGTTGTAGATACCTTGGCATTCCACATCTAACTTGTAGGGCAATATCTATATGTCAATAACCAATTTCTCAAATACAAATAGATTCAAATCATGACTGAAAAAGGCTAAATAACAATACCTGCACTTACATGTAGGCATACAAATTATAAAGCGCAACATTCTCCCTTAACCTCTGAAGCGTGTAGCTGCAGTTTTATGCAACAACATCCTTTTATGCACAGTAGTGCCTACGTCATAAAGACAGGGAGAGATCAAGGGAAAATGTTAAGGAAAAAAGAAAAGGTTAACTGCACCCATATAATTCGCTTTCACAGTAGTGCCTGCCTCTAGAGTCGAAAACTGTTGTTTCTTACCCCGTCTCACGCTTACCATTTAAAATATAGAGCATAAATGAACCATAAACTGGAATAAACATGAGAATAGCGAAGTTTGCAGCAATGGTCCCAAAAACACAAAAAGAAGATGACAACAAAAAAAACAAAGATATGGGAAAAAGGAAAGAGAAAAATAACAAAGGTTCTTTACAGAAATTTCCTAAACAATTAAGCATAAGGAGAATTTTAGCATATGTAGTGCTTCATAATTCTTATTCAAAATATAATATACTCTCAGCAATGAAAGCTAAAGGAAATATACCAAACGACTCTGATGCTTATTGGCACTTACATGTAGCCACAACCTTAGACTTTTCTTGCTTCCTGATGGATGCATTCTCATCATCAAACTTATCTAAATGCACCTTAGCTGTGCAAACTGATTATCACGAAAATAATCACTATCCAATTTCAAATGACTATCCTTCTCATATAGCCTTCCCGGTGCCATAACTCTCATCCTTATGTTTACGGCTACTCATATCTTCGTCCTCACCTTGTTCTTCATCTTTATCTTTACTGCTCATTTTAACCTTCTCCCGCTCACCTTCATCATTACTTATATGTTTAATATTTTCCATCTCCTTGTCTCTATGCCTATCCCACTCCTTCTCCCTCTCTTTATCTCTGCTCTTCTCTTTGCCTCTCTCTCTCTCTCTCTCACACACACACACTGCCCTCAAGATCTCTCTCCCTATCCCTCTCTGGGTCCTTTTCCTTATCTTTCTCTCTTTCCTTGCCATAAACACTTGCACCTTGTAATATCCCATTCAGTAATTAATAAAAGTAATTATTTTTAGTTCCTAGTTTGAACTAATTTACTGTTATTAATAATGCTCGTTCCTAATTCCGAGCTCAGTTATTAAGTTATTCAGCTGAAAGTTCGACTTTAAGTCGAAAGTATTCTCAGTTAAATTCTATTCAGTAATCGAGTAAGTTCAGTAATTAATTTTGGCCTAATTTTAGGAAAGTCTTGGCCAATTTGTTTGTCTCGAGTAGCGATATTTGAAAGGTGTGAAGTCTTTTTCATATTTAATCCCATATTGGCCAAATATCTATTAAGTTTTTACGCCTCCATTATGTTGAGATAAGATTTAAATGTCAATTTTAGATTCCAGCTCAATTAATTTTATTTCAGAAGCCACTATTCTTAAGAGTGGTGATAGAATTCTTTATATTTTATGTTTTTGTCTCTCCCTTGCGCAAGCTTATCAATTCAGTGAACATTTATTAATTCCAAGACTAATTGAATAGTTTTTGGTCAATTAATTTGATTGGAGGAGGGCATGAGAAGATATAACATTAGTAGATGATTAGGATTAGAATTTTTCCACCTTAATGAACATGTGTCCAAATTGTTTCAAGCTAATCAAATTTTTGTGCCTAAGTGATTGATGTCACGATCTTAATGATCTAATTTGGTCATTATTTAAAATGTCTTGTGTAATTAGAAAGGGACACATAAGGTGATGTTTCATTTTTAAATTTTCATCAATAATTCTGATAGTAACAAGTGTCTTTATTAAATTTCTTAAGACTTCATTTGCGTATAAGAGTAGCTTAAGACCTGGTGAAGAGTTTCTTTTCATTATCTTAATTAGTTGATTTCAGAAACATAAATTAATAAGTTGTTTCAAATGCGCATGTGTGAGATTATGCTGTGTTCAATGCATTTACACCATATGTTTCTATCAAGATATAGTTTCATTAAGTAATTTCAAATTTATTTCTTAGTCATCTTGTGGTCATTTATCTAGTATGACTAGTATTTAAGAGATGGACACGCATATGACTAATTCTGTATTTTTGTCACTAATAAAAAAAAAAAAAAAANATAACCCATAAAAAAACAGCCAATATTAACCGGAAGTAGCCATGTTTCCGAAAGACGCCGAATGACCTCGAGAAGGCGCGAGAAGACCCTAGTAGTTTTTCGATTTCGGTGAAGGTAAACTGGTGTTTACAAAATTTTTTTAGTAATCCCATGATATTTTAGAAATTATCATGTGGTTAAATTGATTCAAACTCATGACTAAGGAGTAGTTTCGAATTTTTGAAATTTTGGTTAAATCACATGTTCACGCTTAAAGAGTATATTTTGTTTTTGAACATTAAAGCCTTAATTTCGAAAATTCATTATCAAATAGGTATAAGATGAGATTTAGAGCTTAAAGATCCTTAAAGATCATGTCTTTGATGTTGATGAAATATTAGTTTATTTAGAGTTCATATGCTCAGTCATTTTAGCATGGTATTTAACTTATATTTTGTTCCAAGTCATTTTTATAATCCAATAGGATTATATCAAGTTTGGTTGTTTTTTTTAGTTTATCAAAATCATATTATGTTGATTTGAGTGATAAGAAACTAAAATAAGTTGTCGGACGGACAGTAAGAGTGACACATTTAGTATTAGTGCTTAGTCAGTTAGAGAACCAGAAGTTCGAGTTACTTTGGTTCGCATGTGTCTGTCCGAGTTTTATTATGAATTTAAGTATTTTTCGAGCTAAAATAGTTTAGTTTAAGTTATATCAGTAAAATTCGGAATTAGTATAATATCGAAACCTTAGAGTGTTCCAGTTAATTCGGATAAGTTAGAAGTAAAACCGAGCATCTTAGCATATTATTGAGTATTATGAGCATAATACTTAGTATATTTGTCTATATTTGATTTAACTTGCAGATACAGTACCAGTACAGCACTTATCAAGTTACAAACGATTTCAAAGATAAAAAGGTGGGGACCCTGAATGGGTAGCACATTGAGTACGATATGTGATTGGGATAAGGAGACCATCAGTTGTCTCAAAAGTTATATCCCGAAGTTAAGGTTTATTACGCTTGGGATGACGAAACATTAATTTGTCTCATAAGATTATATCCTAAGTTCTGGTGGAGGCGAAACGGGCCTTAGAAATATCCATCAGAGTGTGCACACGTATCCGATTAACCATCGGCTAGATAAATGAAATTTTAAGTTTAAGTTACCGATTAGATATCGGTTTATGATTATCCATATTCGTTACTCACCCCCATGAGTTTTAGTTTCAGGTAACAGGTTAACGAGGAGGTGTGAGTGTAGCGGTGTTGGTGTGGACCGTGGAAGCAAACGAAGACAAGCTCTAATATGGACATTTATAAAAGTTGTATATTTAACCACGTTTCAAGTATTTCGGCTACGCAAAGTAATTATTGAACTTGCATTTTAATGAATTTTAGATTTAAAGTTTTCATAATTATGATAATTATGATTATGGTATTTTAAATGCAAGTTTAAATGAAATCTATTTTTATGTTTCAAAGAAGTATTAAATGATAGTTTAAAGATAAACAGATTTTCAAGAAGATAAGTTGAGTAGCATCCCGAGTTAGTCGCAAGTATTTAGAAAAAGTTAAAGTGATATTGAAGTACAAGGTTGCGAAAATTTTACTCTGATAAGCGGGGTGTTACAGGTGGTATCAGAGCCAAAAGTTTAAATGCTCTACACACTAAAAGTTTAAGTTTCTGAAAGAAAAAGTTTTCAGAGAAGTTCAAGTTTTACAGGAAATTTCAAGAAAACCTGACTACACTACGCTCACACCTCGTCAACTATCAGGTAAGTGCTGTTTAAAGTTTTATACAAGTTTTTTTCAATATATTCAAATTTACTAAGTCTATGCTCAATAAGAAATCAGATGTACAAACTCTAGTAAATTGTACATATATGTTCAAGTATTAAAGCGAAATCTAGTTTATCAAGTTAAATATATCAGGAATAAGAACTTGAACATTCTAAGTTAAGCCACAAGAATAAAGTTATGATCATAAAGATTAAGATGTAAAGATGAGATTTAAGTTATGATATGATCATAAAAGACTAAAGATATAAGAATGAGATGTAAATTATGATATGATTATCAAGATTTACAATGAGATTCAAGTTAGGAAATGATTATAAAGATTGATGATGAATTTAAGTTAAGAAGTAACGGTATTTCAGTATATAATAGCCGATAAGTACGGGAAAAGATCATGGAGGTTTGAAATAAGAACCAAAAGGCTGGATCAGATCCTGTAGACTTGAAAACTAAACTGTAAGAAGTAAAGTTACAAGAAAATGTTCAATCTTTATAAATCAGATCTTTTAATCTCTGATCATTTGGATATCATGAGTTGAAGTAAAGTTCAAGATGAAGTTATAAGTTATTAGTACTTGTAGAATAAGAATAAGTCTACAGAGTACTTTTTAGAAATGAATGAGTATAAAGATTAAGGTATCGACATATAGTAGTCATGAAGCCGGGGAAATTATGAAAACCTGAAATAAGAGTTATTAAGTCCGAATTACCTGGAAACTTGAAATTGAACCTTAAAAGATATTAGAAATACATTCCAGATACCGAGATAAGTATTTAAGTTTCTCGGAAGAATTTTAAAGATAAGCAAGATTAATCTGGATATGTAAAAGTTAAATTAAATATAGTCTTTTTAATAAAAGACTAAGATGTTTTTTTGGAGGAAATATTAGTCCCCAAAGAGAGATAAGTATAAATGATGAGTTTAAAGCCATAAATAAGAAATGGCGAGCAGAAGAAAGAAAAGATAGATTAACCGGAACTCTAGCACAAGCTAGGTGTTTTCGGAAAATTAACAATTTCCTTAAAGTTTGGTATAGCTATTTATTAATGGTTATACTGTGCAAGTTATGAAGTTAGTGGTTTTAGAATGCCGAGAGGCAAGGTTTTAAGAACACAACTGAGTAAAGTTTTAAGATCTTGATTAAATCAAGAAGTTAATGCAGCTAGAATCGAGTAGTCTTGATGTGTGAATCAAGTTTATTCGAGTAGAGAATATTTTACACAATCAATCTACTTGACAACAAATTCCAATATTATGGAAAATCAAAAGCAAGACAAAGATGCAAGCACACTGTTGAGAACTCCATTATTCCGAAGAAGCTAGTACAGAGATAACCAAGAAAAGAGATACAGATAAGCATAAAGGAATTCTCAACTAGTACAAAGTTATAGTACATAAAGGGAGGGTGCGTCTCAAGAGCACAAGACTCCATAACTCTGCCACCCATCATGGCTGTAGTTTCATAAAGATAGATCTAAAGGATCAAATGCTCGCTTGCGTTTGAATCCTGGAGTTTCCACATAATCTTGAACTGTTGAGATGCTGTTTTGAAGCTTCTGGATGAGTTCAGATGATGTGTTTGCAGACTTGAATATTTCTCTTTGAAAGGGAGATATAAAAGTTTGATACACTCCTTCATCTAGAAATCCAAGCAAGTGGTGGAAATAGTTATTGAAATTTAACAAACCAATAGGTTTGGTATGAAATTTCATTTCTGCCCAAGTAGCAAGGGTAAACGCAGTCATTAAAGTTCCATATCCACCAGGAAGAATGATGAAAGCATCACAACTTGATATCATGGACATTAAACTGTCATAAATGGAAAGAGTAATCATCAAAGTAGTAGAATCTTTAACGACCTTTGATGAAGTGAGATAAAAAGGAAGGATACTTCTCACCTGGATGTCAAAGCATTTAGCAGCCATTAAGAGGTTGTTAAAGAAGTAAATACTAGTTCCTCCA